CCAGGCTACTGGCGCTTCTTTGTATTGGAATGTGTTAAAACTGTTTGTCTGGCCTGCTGTTGTTTTCCCAATTTATCACTACGACGAAAAAAAACTGTGACAAACTCAGATGTAGTGACCAAAATATTAGAGGAAAGTCATCTATTATGTATGTTCTTGATCATTTCAGCCTTGTTATAGTTATTCAAACAATACATGAAGAGTAACAGCAGACAGACATGAAATACTGAATGCAGCCAGTGTTGAGGTCACCAGTAGACAATAGTTTGTTTTATTAATAACGTAAATGAATTCAGTTTGTGGTTGTGATGGCTGGTATTTGACAGCGCTGCCCAGCTCCATGAGCAGACTGTAAACATGTGACAAACCCTCCTCTGTATAGATAATACTCCACATTGTGTGTGTGCCTTTAAACCGGGTTATTCTCGTCTTTCCAGGAAAACTGGTCAGACAATTCTTTGGCCCTGAGCCAGCTTTTTTTTGTTTTGTTTTGTTTTGTTTTTCGTCAAATCCAGTTAGCGTCGTCTCTTCCTGCCCTTAGTTTGATGTCAAGGAAGCGGCGACAGAGAATCCTGATAACACAGAGCAGTTGCAGAGATGATGATAGGCCCGAAATTTTCTGGTGAAAGAGATAAGAGTTTCCTGATCCTCACGGAGATACTGTTACACGTGTTAGAGCAGCACAGAGGAACAGCCGAGAGGTAAGAAAACAGAGAAATGTTAGAGTAAAACATGAAATACACAACTAATGGAGAAAGATGACGTTAAAAAAAAAACAATATGTAATGTGGATATTACTGTACCACGGACTGTAGATGTGCACTGGAACCATTATAATATATATAATGTAGTAAAATGAAAGTAAATTATGAAGTATATGTAACAGAAATGGAGGCAAATACTATGAGATTTTATAATAATAACAACAATATAGTTGTAATATGCTCATTTATGGGGTTAAAATGAGATCTATTGCAAAGTGCTTTTTAAAATCTGAGGATTTTGACTTTGTGTTTTGGTGAATAACACTAAACGCTGCCACGTAGGAAACGTTAAAGAAGGATAAAACATTTTCAGAAACAAGTGTTGCGAGTCAATAAACGGCAAGAGTTGGAAGTCCAAGGAATTATATGAGTTAATAAAAAAGTAGTTTATTTAAGGCGTGGCGTGAATGTGCAAATTAGTCCCCAGAGAACGTGAAGGATTTATTAGTATACGATGAAAACTGTTTCAAATGTGCAAAGGTTAGATTTTATGTAATGATACGTAATAAAGCATGATGCAACGTCAAATAAAATAATATTACAGATGTGTTGTTACTTCTTACACGGCTGCTTTCGTGGTAGTAGTAATAGCGCTGGTGGTATTTGTTAATAATAAACTGATGGTTTTCTGAGAGGCCACACTGTTACTGATTATTAGTGATCAAGGAGACTGATCACTGGTGTTTGGAATCAGTGTATATATGAGAGTTCATTTGCAAAAACAGATAACTCCATCTGCACAAACCTTCAGAAAACCCACTTTTCCATCGTCTACCTCAGACAATATCAATCAAACTTCAGTTATCTTTATTTTTGTCATTTCTACTGAGTCAAATCCACTCAGCTTCAGTTTGATTGATATGATCTCAAGCAAACCACGAAAAATATGTTTTCTGAAAACCTACAAAAATGGAGTTATCTGTTTTCGCAAACTCTTCGTATATTTTTATAAAGAATGAAATGTTGGTGTTAATATACACAGAACTGAAATGCTTTTGTGTATTTATGTTTTACGATGTTTAGTTAAAAGAGAACTTTTAGCGTTTATCCTTCAGTGCTGATTGGATGTTGCTCCTAGCCAATCAGATAGTTGCTCATTTTACTTTTTTTTTCATTTGTTGTGAGTCAGTTTTTAAAAAATAATGATACCAATAATGGAAAAATGTAGAATATTGGATTTGATAATTGATTGACTGCTACAAAAAAAAAAGCATGTTTTAACTGTAAAATGCTTGTTTCTGAGTGCAACAATATGCCAAAAACTAGTCCACGGTTATTGTTCTAAAGCCAGATCCGTCTCTCCTCACAGGAAATGAGCTCTGCCGTGATCACCTACTGTGGACATTTCTTCCACGGCAACTGCCTTCGCAAGTGGCTGTATGTTCAGGAAACGTGCCCCATGTGTCACCAAACGGTCCGACCGACGCCTCCAGCTCAGAGCCAGCAGGCTTCGGGAGACGCTCCGGCAGCTCCGCCTCAGAGAGACGCAGGTCCGGATCCGGCTGCACAACAGGGAGTTCAGGACCCAGACAGCGGCGGTGGCGGCGGCAGGACTCAGGAGAGCGACGATTTACCTCCGGATGCCACCAAGCAGCAGCAGCATCGGGAGGAGGAGGAGAGTGAAAACAAAGAGCAGCCAGCTGAACCTCACAGCGACGCCGTCCACGGTCTTCGTTTCAGCTCCAGTGGAGACTTTGTGGGATTTGTCAGCCCAGTTTCTTCAGGTTCTGGTTCTCACGAGCCGCCGGGTAAAACTTCGCACAATCAAGACGAGAGGGTCAAAGACTCGCCACTGCCATCGACTCCTGAAGCTGTCAGTGAAAACGCAGCAGACTCTGACTCGACGGGACTGCAAGACAGCGTTGCTCTTCGGTCCAAATTGTGGATCGATCCGCCAGAATCAAACCACACTGACAAAAAACAGGAGGCGTGTGCTCTGAGCCTCCCTGGTAGCCAAACGTCCATCAAATCATGTAGTCAGAACTCAGAACTCTCAGACCACCATCACAGTCACAAAGGCAACGGCACACTTTCAGACTCAGAGAGGCTCAGAGCGGCTGAATCGGCAGCACAGGTCCTCCAGCCGTCTCCCTCGGACGCCACCTTCTCTTGCACAAGCACAGACAGCAGCGACTGACTGCCCTGCATCAGTGCCTTGAAGGGAGTAAAAGGGTGATTCTCCTTAACGGGGGGAATTAAACACATTTGCCTTCTGTATGTGAACCAATAGGGAAAAAAGTCTGTATCTTCTACCAGACAGTGTAATGAATGTGCTTCGGTTTAGCAAATAACGAGCGTCTGGACTGATCATGAGACTAAATTGTGACGGATTATCATGCGAGAAATTGTAAAGAAATTCTAATTAAATAATAATAATCATGTGTAACTACAAATCGGTGATCTTGCATCAACATGTGCTGAATTCTAGCAGGTTACAAGAACAGATGTTTACGTAGAGACGCGGCGTTTTGGGTTGTTTTCATTTCAATTATTTTCCTCGTAGTCCTCATGTGTAGCATCTTTGTGAAAGCAAACGTGGCAGAAAGCTTTTGTCTTTGTTATTCATGAATCAGCCTTTTGTACTGCAAATATTCTCTGTCTCCCAGTATTAAATTACTGCTGTGAACTTGTACTTCTTTTTTTACTGTATATTAATAATAAAACCATGACAGGTGCACAGTCAGGCTGCCATTGTGTGTCAGGTTTAGTCGAAGCAGAACATTACTTCTGTAGTCTTAAACTGAGACGGTTCAGATTAAATCAAGATTTGTTGTATTTTGTCCTCCTCTGCTGATGTTCACTGCTGTCTTCAATGTGAAAAATTCAAATTCAATTGAAATGGGGATGCGGTTTGGTAATTCAATCAAACCTAAACTAATTTAGGAGCATGGATGCAGTGAAATTTGCAAATATAAACAGTCAAAATGTAAAATATTGCATAAATACTGACTTTTAAGTATCCGTAGAAGTTTAAGGATTGAAAGTTTGATGTTTCAGCTGTAGTTTTAATCCAAAACATTATGGTAGAATCCACCTCGAGGCCTTTATTATGTGATCTTTAGTTAATGTTTTGCTTCTGTTCTAGACATTTCCAGTAAAGTTACAACCAATAAAACAGATTACAGCAGCAGCTTAAGTTTATCTACCTTAAAATTTAATTGTTTTGGCAGTGAATTATAATCGACTACTGGAGTGTGACGAATTCACATTAGTTGTTTTCTTAAGGCCAAAACCCAAAGACAATCAGTTTCTTTTAAGCAAACAAGACAACGAAAATGCAGAAAAACTTCACTTTTGGGAACCTAGAATCAGCCGATGATCCATTTTTTTCTACTTGTTCTGTACTAGCTGACTAATTGATGTTGTCCTAAGAGCAACCAGACTTCTTTTTTTTTTAATTTCTTGAAGAGTTTAATCTAAGAAGTTTCCTCAGGTCTTCACCCCAGAATCATCATCATCAACACCATGTCGATGTGAATGGGAAAGGATCTCACGGCTGCTTTGTAAGTACCTGATAAGTGGTGTCTAAGAAAACCATCAGTGTTCTTCTTGTTCTCAAAGAAGTGTTGATTGCCCTTTGGATGGATCTCAAGAGAGTAAAAAACTCTTTTCTAACCAGATCAATAGAAATACGATTTTTTTTTTTTCTTTTATTCTTAGTTGGAAAAGAAAACCAGTTTAAAACTGCATTGATATTTTTTGTTCCATGAATCTAATGGCTCCTTTAGGATATAAGTATCTGGAACTCCCAACTAGTCAGTCAGAACTGATGAAGCCTGTTGGATGAGAGGTGGAACGTCTTCAAGGAACTCAAGCAAGTCCAGTTGCTACGATTAAACTACCAGAAGAATTCCATGAATCTAGGCCTTGTTAAGCATAAACATAAAAACAGAAACTTCACATGACTGGATCTGCTAATCGATCTAACCCTTCTTCTGTGTTTTTTATGTTGCCAAGACATATTGGTTACTATTATGTATGACAAAGAAAACAACATCAAATCTCCAAATTTGAGAAGCTACAAACAGCTCATGTTTGGCTTTTTTGCTTAAAGAAATAAGCTGATGATGAAACATTCGCAAATTCATTTTAACTAGATATATTGATAATTTGGAGGTGGATTAAGAAAAACGCACTTAACCCGTACATAATGTTTCATTTTGACTTTTGACAGTAGCAAAAACATCCTAAAGGTCAATCTTTTAGCCTGAAATGTGATGACTTTTGCTGAAATTACCCAAAACACAAAAGAAACTTTAGTACAGGTGCTACACATTTTTATACACTGAGGCTGTTTGGGGTCAAGTTTGATCAGTAAGATGGACATTAGAGCGACCAGTGTGGGTCAAATCAAGAAAAATGGTGGTTTTAGGGAATCTTGAAACTGTACAATCCATGTTTTATGTGTATTTTTTATTTACATTTATTAATATGGCATAGGCTATTTAGACATTTTTAAATAGATGTGGAGTTAAAAAATTGTTATAGACGTTTGCTATGAGGGGACGCTTGACAGGATTCATAAGGCATAACATATTTGGAGATTCACAGTGAGCATGTTTCACTGTATGAGCCTTGTTCAGATTGAATAAGATGAATAGAAGTGCAAGACAGCTGTATTCACCTCTTAAGACCTGAACTCTTGTTTGAGATTTTTTTTTTTTTTTAGAATAAAAAATATAAAGAAAATAGAAATATATTTTAAAAATACATATATAAATATTTTGTAAATAAAAAAATTAAATAAATAAAAATAAAAAATGAAATAAAATAAATTAACTACTGTGGTAATATAACCCAAAATGTGATGTCCACGCACGCGGGCGCCAGGTCTCAAGAGGTTAAAACAGTCATATTTATGTCACAGTATATTTTTTGAGTTGTGAAACTGAGGCTAAATTTCCCTAATTTCATTCCAGATATTATTTTATGTATTTACTGTCTGGGTTGACTGTATTTCGGGCTGACATGTCGTGTCATGCGTGTTGTTTTTTTTCCTGCAGGCTGGTAACCAATCTGCCATCACATCCGCGCCGTCACTCAGCAGCAGCGCACCGCCTTCACCTCATAAAGCCGCACATACATGTAGACAGCCGCTAGTTGGCTAAACGGCATCGACCGAAACCAAAAGAAGAGAGAGGAGCTTTTGTCGACCGGGTTACCTCACCTGGCACACACGCACTTACTCAACCTCAACCGGGGACACAGATAATCCACGATAAGACGTCCGAACTGCGGGGAAAACAGAGTTAGCATCGAAGGACGGCTCCTGTCGTTGGCTCAACAACTCCGCGCATACGTAGTTTTAGCTCGCTAGCCCGGCTAACGACGCTAGCAAGAGAAGAAAGGCCTCGTCGAGTTGGTTGACCCAGCGTCAATTATTTAACGGAGAGCCAATCATCCTGGCATATCACCGCCGCCCCCCTCACCGCTTGGATCGGAAACCTTGAAAGTTAAAGAGCAGAACATCGAGAGAGGATGGCCCTGAAACGGATCCACAAGGTAAGGTAGCATCGGCACCATTAGCTAGCCGCGTTAGCTCGCCGCGCTAGCCTCCCACAATGCAGCCACCGCTCTTCTCTCGACTCTCGAGGCGGCGAAACATGTTCGAGGAAGTGTGTGTTTTTTTCAAGTTCACGATTCGTCGTGTGTAGTCTGTTGGTGTTATTTTTTTTTCCCGTAGTTACATGTTTTGACTGGTGGTTTGTATTTACTCTTGGCACCGGCTGGCGCTTACGGCTTAACGTTTCGGTTGGCAAACACCGCTCAGCTAGCCGGCTAGCTTAGCAGTTACAGGTTTGAGTGTGTTCGTCGGAGTGGATTGACGGCGAAAAAGAGGCCGCGTGGATTGCTCAACACTTCATACCTTTACACGAAGACGCATATGTTTGAGAGCTACGTGGTTACAGCACTTAACGTCCAGCTTTTTTCTACAAATAATTGTGTGTTTTCGCACCTAGCTAAACGTTTGAACACTCACTATAAGCGGCGATACTGAGTGTTACCAGAAGCCATGACTCATATCACTCACTGAATCTGTGTCAGTAGTCAGAGCTGAGTTCATGAGACATTTCCTTGGTATGTAATTTGTTCACAGTGTACGCACATCATGGTGTGTGTGTTCTGGTAGTTTAAAGGAGGAACTTTTACCACATAAGGGGGGGAAAAATCAACACCTCTGAACATCCAGAGCTTTATTTCTTCACTCTGTTGTTGACTAGACTCTAGTTCCAAGGAAATCCATAAACTTGAGAAATGGTGTGTGTCTGAAGGCCAGGGTGGGGCCTCCACCTCACTCTAAAATAGCTGTAGACCCTAAAAATAACAGAGGCCATGGTATACAGTAAACTTCTCGCCTTGCTGTTAACTGTGGGGATGATAACAAGGTTCACCCCCGGAGCTGGCGTGGACTTGAACTTGGAGAGCGGCTGGAGATAATAACAAACACCAGAAGGGGGACGGTGTTGTGAAATAAGCGAGACGCACCGCTTCTCATGTAGCATCTTCGTTTCCCTTCCACGAGTCTCCATTTTGGCATTTACAACCCAGCATGTTAAGTGCTACTCAGTCCTGGTCATCGATTTCAGATGCATCTCCCCGATTGTTTTGTCTCTGAAGATTACTGTAGTCTAATTGGTTATTGTTGTAAACCTCTTTTCATTACAGGAGCTTAATGACCTGGCCCGTGACCCTCCAGCACAGTGCTCAGCCGGCCCAGTGGGCGATGACAGTAAGTGGACCCAGACCTGGTTTAAATTATTGCTTTTGTAGGGATTCAGCTGCAATAAAATGCCAGAAAAGAGTGACAAATGTGTCATAATTTCTCACTAAGCAAAGAAATGTTTTCTATTTGACAAGTATGATCAATTATTGGTAGTCTAGAGGACTCATAACCAGTTTGCATCTTTTGTAAACATGCAGATTTTGGTGTCAAAATTTTTACGAACAAACTCTAACTCAAAACTTGAAATGCTGTTGTCAAATCATGTTTGGCGTGTTTCCTTGGAAAAAAAAAAAACAATCTTTACAGCATTTATCTTCCAGTGTTGCGAGGCCATTACTTTTAATGTGTTACTAATTAGACTACGTGATGGTGGAAGCTTTTTTTTTTTTTTATCATCCATCTTACGAAACAAAACCAAAAAAACCCGATCGCAAGAATCAGAAAAATGCTGACTACTCGATCTGATAATCGGTCTAAGTCTTCTTCTAAATGTGGTGCTTTGTGTAGCTAACACTCCAAAAATATTGTTTACTGTCTTTTTTGGCAAAGAAAAACTTAAAATCTGCACTTTTGAGAAGGAAGAAATGCTCCATGTTTGGCATTTTTGCTAAAAGAAATAAGTTGAATATCAAAATAATTGCAAATTTTCTGTAGATGTAAGTGTCTTATCAGTTTGTAAGTTGAGTAGAAAAGAAAAACAAACGGACATTTGAAGCTACGTTTTCAGATTCAGAGTGAGCATATGTCAGTCTATAAATGCAAATGATAGAACACAAAGAGAAATGTTAGTACAGGGAAGCTGCGAGCGGAGTTCCTGTCAGATCACATACCTGTGACCTTTCCTCGCGTTCTAACATTTGCTTTCTGTTCCCCGCAGTGTTTCACTGGCAAGCCACAATCATGGGACCTGTAAGTAGATGCTTTATGACATAATTGTTGATCTCTTTCCACTTTAAAGTCACGTAGTGTTAAAACTTGACATTGAGGTTGTGTTCCTGGGTGCTGTTAAAGTGGATTTATGAGGAAGCTTGAAGTTTGACTTGATAATGGGAAGCTGCCGTCAGGACGTGCAGATAAGTCTTTACTAAAATGTAAATGTAATTCCTGCTTTCAGAGTGACAGTCCATATCAGGGAGGCGTTTTCTTCTTGACAATTCATTTTCCAACAGACTACCCCTTCAAACCACCCAAGGTAAGACTGCAGTGAATCACACCCTAGACAAAGTTTTCCTGTTTTCATGCTGTCATACATTTGGGGCAAATAAAGGTATCATGGAGGCTTAATCACAACATAAATAAACAGCTAATTCTGTGTCAGGAACTGTGGTCAGTGGGGGGGGGGGGAAACCAAACGTTTCTCGTAAATGTAATTGAACCCGGCCGTTTGGCACCGTGAGCATATTTTATCTGTTTGGCAGCCGCATGAAGTAATACCTGTTGTTCCACCAGTTGACAGTCATCAGCATCACACGTCACTGCTTCGTGTCAAGGAATTTAAATTGCATAACACTGACATGTGTGACCCGCCCTTATCTAACTTCTCCTTACTGTGTGTGTGTGTGTTGTTTTTTTCCCCTCAGGTTGCATTTACAACAAGAATTTACCACCCAAATATTAACAGTAACGGCAGTATCTGTCTGGATATTCTCAGATCACAGTGGTCTCCTGCACTTACTATTTCTAAAGGTATGGACCGAGGGACGGGCTGAGTTTTGACAGCGTATTTACTAAAGTTGACCTGACATTTGTGCTGTAGGGCTGCAGTTAATGCTTATTTTCAGCGTCGACGTCGTCTATAGATTATTTCTCGATTAATAGATTAGTCGTTTGATCTTTACACTGTCAGACAATGAAAAATGACATTGAGTTGCTTCCAAAGCCAAAGATTTCAACCTCATATCTTGTTTTGTTCACAACCCAAAGCTATTCGGTTTAGTGTCATAGAGGAGGAAAGAAACCAGTATGTTTAGGAAGCTTTAATCAGAGAATTAAAAAAAAATAAATAAATCGCTTAAAATTACTCAAACTTATTAACAGATTATCAGAATGGTTGCAGATTAATATAATAGTTTATGGCTCATGGTTGCAGCTCTAATCTGTGCAAAAGTATTTATGTAACATTGCAAACAAGGTCCTTGTGATTCTTTTTTTTTTTTTTTTAATATATGAATTTGATCCGTATCATTTCGGGTGCGTCCCTTGGTTATATAACAGCGTGTGTCAAACATTGACTCTATTGCAAAACGCAAATGTAATGAGTGTGAGTCAAAATATGTAAAACAAAAATGACAGACCTTTTTTTTTTTTTTTTTTAATAGCTGTTGTAAAATATGCAAAGTTAATAAAATGTCTGTCTTTGTCTGTTGTAGTTCTTCTCTCCATTTGCTCACTCCTATGTGACCCAAACCCCGATGACCCGCTAGTGCCAGAGATCGCACGAATCTACAAAACAGATAGTCAGAAGTAAGTATGACATTTCTGCGCGTTCTCCAAACAAACTCGCAAAAAAAAGACCGACAGAACAGCGGTGACATTTTTTTTTTTTTTATGGTGCATTATCCACAATGAGTGTGACCTTTTGTAGTTTAGCACGTTGATATAAAATTCAGCTGTAGTGTCACTGAGGTCTATTATGTAACCTAGTTTTACTCTGTCAGGTACAATAAACTAGCTCAGGAGTGGACAACGAAGTATGCCATGCTTTAGGGTAAGGCCAAGAGGCAGCGCTGCATCTTGGCTAGTGCTATGAGAGTGGATGTGTTGTGATGTTTGGGCCTCACTGGCCAAACCCGAAGCTTGTCTGAGGAACTACATGACAGCAGTGTGCCGTTGTACTAATCTGTCTGTGCATCCAGAGTAGCCTAACTGCTCAGGACTTTGGTTTAGACTGCTGCTGTGAATAACAACAAGTTAATGGAGTGTTTCTGTGAACCCACAGAGGGCTCTTGACAGCTGTGGTTTACCAATAATACAAACCAGAGAAAGTAAGGATCTGATAAAAAGAACTTAAAAGGGAATCTCAAATAATAAAGCTGTCAAAACCCACGTAAGCAAAAATCAACGATTCACAAATCATGACCGCTTTTCCACCACATTACATGTTCAGTTCCTTTGAGCAGGATTGGAAAATTAACTCGGAGAGACTGGAGATAGTTAATCCATCACAGTTAATGACGGGCTGCCTTTATTTCTCGCAGTTGTTATTGTTGCGTGCTAAAGCTGGTGTCAGCGGGGACCATTGTGAAAAATGTTCTTGGTGGTGCATTCAAGGACACGCCAACAGTTGGCTGCCAAAAAGCACAGCATTCATGAGCTGTGATGTCTGAAACTGAAGCCGAACAGACAATGAGGATAATGTGAGTTGTATGGAAACTGTTGCTGTGGGCAGATTATGAAACCTCAGGTGTCTTGAACACACCAAAAGCTGTGAAAGTCACCGCCATGCAACTATTCTACCCTTTCAAAAAAGAGAAAATAGCAATAAATTATTTACTGTTATGGTTTTTATTCTCAAATGAGTCTGAGCGAGGCAGTTTTCATTGTGTGCCGAAATGAAGCAGACTCCTTAGAAGATAAACGGAAATATGTGGTTTGGAAAATGGCAAGGAAGGGTTATACAGTTTGGCAAGTGTCAGGATATTCTAATGAAGTTGTGCAGCAGGAAATAAAAAAAGCTAATTCATTACAGAGAAGCGCAGCAAACCAAGACACACGTCAGTCACAAAATTTAAATAAAACCTGCCACACACCTGGATGTACTATTTGTAGGTTTAAAACGACAGGGGGGGGGGTTATCGTTGACTTGTACAATTAAACAGACTTACACAGTTGCATTTAGTCTAATCTTACAAAATCCAACATCCTTACGATGATCTAATCTATGAAAATGTATTAAAAAACCCAAAATATTCAGTCTGCAGTGTATAAAAGAGTGGGGAAAAAAACATTTAAACTTGCACTAAAAGTGGTTGCAATGATTAATCAGTTGTAAACTTTTGATATATTTGGTATTTTGTGTTCTTAATAAGGAATCAAGAGATAAATCACCCCCAAACTAATGTTTTATAGAGAGTACACATGTTTTAGGATAAGAATAAATGTGGACCAACTCACGAGTCACTAGTTTGACAAGTTCAGAAGCTGTATTGTCTTTGCATGCAGCCACTAACTGAAGCATGAGAAGGTTTGTTCTTGCAAAACATCATTATTGTCATATTGATGTGAATAGAGATGATGCCTGACTTGAGAAAGAAATTGCACCTTTTCAAAAAAAAAAAAAGCGTTAAAATGTAGACAAAGTGTACGAGTGTTTTGTGCATACATGACGCTAACATTGCTTGTCCTGATAGTTAAACAGCTCAGGTGCATGTGCTTGAGTTCTGTACCAGTAAAACTTATGAGTGGAGTTTAATTTGTTTTCTTTTTTTTTTTCTTGCAGATACACCAGAATGGCAAAAGAATGGACACAAAAGTACGCAATGTGATGGCACAGTTCGGAAAGCTGGTGGAAAATGTCGTTGCTGGTTCAAACTTAAAATTCCAGGATCCTGTTTTTCTTTTTCACTTTATTATTATTATTTGTTTTTTGTTTTTTTTGGTTAATCAGAGCATTTTACCCCCCAGTTTTTTTTTTTGTTTCCCGCCCCTCCCACCTGCGCGGTCATAAGAAGATAGTGTTTTCTCTCTAGGACACGTGCCAGTTTTCTGTGAAGTTGCAGCTCCTGTTTTGTACGGAGTTACTAAAAAAAAAAAAAAAAAGGAAAAAAAGATTATGGTTCTGAACACTCGGCTCGAGCATGCACCAGTAAGAGTTTTTTTTTTTTTTTTTTTTTTCAACCCAGGATTGGTGATGTTAGTCATTTCCTCTGCACACACTTGGTAGAATCTGATGCAGCTGAACAGAAAATCAGCCTCGAGAAGATCCAGTCGGTTCGTCGGCTCGATCCTCCGGGGGCTGATTTCAAAACTTCACCATACGCTGGGTTTCTAAGAGCACTTGTAGCAAAGCCTGTGTTTTGCCGTACCCTGAATTTTTAAACGTTTCAAATCGGCCCAATCCTGCTGCATTTTATTTGGAATCTAAAATCAAAATTCTCTGAAAAGATTCGGGGGGGAAACCGTTTAGCGGCTCCTGTGTCCGCCTCCTGGACTGGTGTGACGTCAGTATGTTCTTCTGATCGATAGTATAGGAATCTATTACCTGAGGAAAGACGTGTATCTTATTCCACTATCAAAGTGTGTGTACAGAGAAGCACAGCAGTATATATCAATGTTAAGGAAACAAAATATAAGAACTTCAATGTTGTATTTTATGCATGTTAATAAAGGTAGGCTATTATATCTGATATGTTTCTGCAAATTAAGTGGATTGTAAAGACTGAACAGTTGGACAAATTTGGTCCCCCTCAAAAGCTTTCTATTTCTTTCTCTTTTTTTTTTTCTTTTTCTTTTTTGTTTTTGTTTTCTTTTTTTGGTTCTTTAGAAGCCAGTAGATGAGCAGTTAGTTTTACGCCCACTCGAACACTGTCTTCTTGTAGCCCTAAAATATTGATGCAAAGCTGATGGTTGATAATCAACCTGTGGCTCTGTTTCTTTTTAGTTTTCCCTTCAATAAAGTTACTTAAACCATAAAGCGAGTCGGCGTGGTGTTGTTTTGTTTTTTTTTATTTTAAAGTTGTTAGACTGATGCTAATGTGTTTTATTCCCTGATAAATGTTTCAGAGGAAGCATTTGCCATCTTGGTGAAGGTTTTTGTGATTTTTTTTTTTATTTATTTATTTTTTTAAGAATATTTCATTCTTAGGTTGGCGGGCAAACTGCCAGTAAAAGAAAAAAAAAAAAAGGGTATATGCTTCAGGTTTTAACTGCTGGAGCATTAAATGTGAGAGTGAACACAGCAGGATATGACTGTAGCATTAGCCATCTTAGTAGCAAAAACATAAATAAATTGAAATACCCGAACAATAGATTTGTATACAGTTCTTAGTGGCAGTGTAGTTCGGTAAGAAATATCGCTAAGTTCAGATATATTCCATCATTTGAATGTGCTGAAAATCTATTTCAAACCTTTGCGCCTTGACACCTTAATTAATGTAATCAATTACACTTCTCACAATAAGTTAGGGATATTGTGAGAGACTCAGTGGATTTCATACATACAGTCTTT